ATTAACCAATGTAATCCCAATAAATTGAGTAAAAAATAAAAATGGGTTTTTTCTGTTTTCCATTTCAAAATTAGGAGCCCAACCCCTGCTCTTTGAGGGGTCTCTGCTGAGCCTGACCTAGCTAGGTTGAAGATCTGGTGCCGGCAGCAGGTGGGAGTTCCAGGCCACAGCAGGAGCCTACCCTTAGGGTCTCACCTGACTGCTTGGGAAATCACCCAACTCTAACAATTCTCCCAACACTAGTGAGTAATTAATAGCATAAAACTCTCTTACAATGATGGCCTCAGGGGCCACAGCCAATACCCTCTCTAGATGCTGAAATCCATTTCCATACAAAATTGGCAAAATGAATGTCCTGCCTCACACCATGGCCCTCTGGGATCAGGCAGGCAGGTGGGCACAAAAACACAGCCCAGGAGTATATGGGTATCCACTCCTGGGGCTTCAGGGTGCCGACCCTCCCTCCAGCTCTGTATGCAGGCCAGCTCCCAGGGGTTAAAAACCCAGCTCTTATGGCCCACCATCCAGCTCCTTTTCTTCTCTGTTCACCAGCTACATCTGGATTTTGGACTATTGGCCCCGCCCCTATGATATGGTCTTCGGATTCCTGCAAGGAGACTTGATGGCTTTCTGGGTGGTAGGCAATGCCATGGGATGCCTAGGTACCAGAGAGGGTCTGCTTGCTGAGGAGCCATGGGTATACCTGCACTCTTCACCTCCCAGGATGGGAGTCCAAGAGAGGCCAGACTGGGGAGGTGGCAGCCATGGGGTACAAATGACATCAGCCCACCCTTAACCCCTCCCTATGTCATCCTTGTAGGTTTTCTATATCTCTGGTCCTTTTATATCTCCAGTAATGCCAGGTTCCAGCAGCTCCAGGTGCTAGAAGGCCACCTGCCCCCTGCTCTCCATTCTGTCCCCCCTTTCCCTCCTTCCTCTGCCTTGACACAGAGGAAGGTAGAGGGCACTCACTGTGGAGCCTGTACTCTCAAGGGAGCTAACCCTTCCCAAGTGAGCTAATCCAGGAAGCTCTGTCTCTCTGGAGGTCAGGCCACACCCCAAGTCAGCCCTGCCCTGGTGGGGTGACACAGAAAACCTGTTTTTCTAAGGCTGAGATCCAAATCAGCCCTCTCCAGCAGGACCCCCTCCATTTCTGTTTTTACGACTCAATATATTAAAAATTAATATTTGCCAACACAGCATTTATGAACTTTTTTATGTATATTAACATGTATTGGTGGCCCTCCTATTTCAGTCTGGGCACCATATCTCAGGGATCAATACTAACAATATTTGCATTGGGTGAGAACTTCAAAAGTCTAAATCAGGGTTTCTCTGCCTTGTCACTATTGACATTGACATTTGGGGCTGGATAATTCTTGGCTACCAGAGCTGTCCTGTGCACTGTAGGATGTTGAACAGTATCCCTGGCCTCCTCCCATCAGACACCAGTAGCAGCTCCAAGTAGTAATGACCAAAAATGTCTCCAGACATTACCAAGTGTCCCCTATGGGGCAAAACAACCCAGCTGAGAATTCCTGGGTTAAGGAGTTCCATTGACCACCCCCTCACCCCACCCTACTCCCACCCCCCACCCAGGAAACTCTGCATCCCCTAGCCATCTGACAATTGAGGCCCTAGTGATGCCAGAAAGGGACTGGGCCCAAGAGTATGTCTGCCTCTTTAGTGTGTCAGTTCTTGACTTTATGAAGGAAAGATTTCAAAACACAAGTCCAGGTGATTTTGAGAGTATGTGTATTAAAGCTGGGGGCAGTGAAACAAAGGAAGGGCTTAGGCTAGAAGAAGCAACAGGAGAGAGCCTAGGCGGCGCTCTGCTTTGGCTCCCTAGAAACGTTACAGGAAAGACGTGAGCCATGTCAGGGCTCCTGTGAGCTCACTGCAAGGTCATAGAAAAGGGGGCCTTGGGGACAGGTTCAGGGGGTAAGCCCAGGAGGAGCTGCCACTGCCCATTGCCCCCCTGGTTGCAAGTCTCATGGAGACCCTTAGATTTTAGCGGGGGGGAAGTAAAGATGCACACCTGAGAGAGAAGAAAGGCTTGGTGTGCTCCAGAGAAATTCTTCCCTGTGTCTTTGTCTTGAGGGTTTGTTTTTTTTTAATCCTCATTCGAGGACATTTTTCCATGTTTTGTTCAGATAGAGTGGGAGGGAGAGAGAGAGAGAGAGAAACATCGACGTGAAAGGGACATATCGAGTGGCTGCCACCCGCACGACCAACCAGGGCCGGGGACAAACTGCAACCCAGGTACGTACCCTTAGCGGGAACTGAACCCAGGTCTCTCTGGACCGCAGGTCGACACTCTAACCGCTGAGCCAAACTGGCCAAGGCTGTCTTGAGGGTTCTTATCTGTTTTCTAAAGATGGGAATTTTAGGGGAGGTCTTAGAGGAGGATCTCAGTAGAACATTTATCAGCTTCATGATGATTAGCCAAAATGAAATTTATTCCCCTGACTTCATCTGTCCTTGGGTGTGGTTGGCACAAATGGCACTAATTGGATTTCTGTTATCTGTCTCCCTGAGTAGGGTGATTTAAGCTGCTTACCCTCTGGTTGGGAAGAAGTATAAACTGTTTACTCTTTTTTTTTCCCTTTCTTAATTGAATTTGAAGTGACACTGGTTAATAAAATTATATAGGTTTCAGGTGTGCAATTCTATGACACATCATCTGTATATTGTGTGTTCACCACCAACCCAAGTCAAATCTCCTTCCATTACCATTTATCCCCTCAACACTTACTTCTACCTCCCCCCACCCCCTTTTCCTCTGGTAATCACCCTACTGTTATCTGTGTCTATGAGGTATTTTTTTTCCCTCACCTGAGGGTATGTTTTATTGACTTTAGAGAGAAAAGAATGGGGGAGAGAGAGAGAGAAACATCAATTGGTTGCCTCCCCCATATGCCCCAACAGGGGATCTAACTCCAAACCTAGCTATGTGCCCTGACCAGGATTTGAACCCACAACCTTTTGGTGTATGGGACAATGCTCCAACCAACTGAGCCACCCGGCCAGGGTCCATTCCATTTACTCTTAAGTGTCCTTGGTTAGGGAAGATAGGATTTTGTGATTTACTAGATGGTTATAAACTGCTTGGCCATTTAACTATCTGTCTCAGTTTCCCTTTTCCACTTGTCCTGGCTTACTAACCTGCCTCACTAAGATGCTGAGCACATTTAAATGGGATGAAGAAAGGAGGTGACTCACAGGAACTGCTTTATACTGTTTGATCCATTAGGAATTTATTCTGGAGTATAGCCTGACCAGTGTGGCTCAGTGGGTTGAGTGACCTCCCATGGACTGAGAGGTCCCTGTTCAATTCCTGGTTAAGGCACATGCCCAGGTTGCAGGCTTGATCCCCAGTGCGGGAACATGCAGGAGGCAGGCGATCTCACAATGAAGTTTCTATCTCTCCCTTTCTCTCTAAAAAAATCAATAAAAACTATATATATATATATATATATATATATATATATATATATATCTTCATCTTCATTCTGGAGTACAGTGTGAGCTAGGGGTCTAACTCAATTTTTTTCCAGTTAATTAACACAGGGATTCTCAGCACTATTGACATTTGGGGCCAGGTGAATCTTTGGTGAGGGGAGACTGTCCTGTGCACTGTAGATGTTTAGCACCATCCACCCACTAGATGCCAGTAGCACACACAACTGCCATCCAGGCAAGACAACTAAAAATGTCTCCAGATAGTGCCAAGTGTCCCCTGGAGGGCAGAATTGCCATTGGTTGAGAACCACTGGTTAGAACTAGAGAACACTGGTGAATATGAAGTATCAGCCATACAGCTGAAGTGGCTGACTCACTACCACCCCACAATAGCTGGAAGCCCTGGGAGGTGAGGAGGAGGCTCCTGGATGGCAGAGCTGGAGGCTGCCATCAAAAAGGGATCTGGTCTTCACTTAAGGGGCAGCACAGGAAGTTTTGTCCTGCCCCTGATAATAATTGTAACACTGATAGCTACAATTTATTGTTTACTGTGTGTGAAACTGGGGCCATCTCATCTGACCTTCCCAATGGGACTGTCGGGTGGGCATTCCTGACTGCCTGCCTTGCAGATAACAAAATTCAGCCACAGAGAGGCAAAGCTGCCCACGCAAAGTCATATGGCCAAAAAGAAATGTGAAAGGTAGGGTAATATCTTGCAATAAATTATAACACTGGAGCAGAGAGGTGCTGATCTGGAGAAAGCAAGGCAATCCCCTAAAACTCACCATCTCCGGAGCTCCCCCATGTGAAATCCAGCTATAAGTCTTACTCCTTGATGTTCTACCCCGGGCAAGGCTGGGGTGAGCCCCGCCTGCTCAAACCCAAAGCCCAAAAGAAGTGTCCAGGGGAAGCGCATGGACCCCTTAAGCCTCCATCAACTCCCACAGGCATCCCCAGTAAAACACGGAAGGAAAATCGTGGTTTTACTGACTAGCAGCTTCAGGTTAAGTCCTCCAGGAACCGACCGCCCTCCTCCCCAAAACAAATCCCAACTCCGGAGCCACTAGCTTGACTCCACTTGGAGCCCTCCTAGTAATTAAAGGGTTCTGGCGAATGGTACATAAATGGAATGGGGAAGGAGACTGAGGACAGAGAAACTGAGGCAGAGCCTCCTGGGCCGGGGTGAGGTGTAGGGGTGGAGAGCGGGATCTTCCCGCTGCTTGTTTACCCGACCTTTCCCTTCCCCCGCCCAATCTCTGCAAAACCCAAGTCGCCAGGCATGGCTCAGGGAGGGGAGGGGGTGGAGTGATGGTGCTGATAGCGCCTGACGGGTTTCCCACCAAGGCCCGGGGTGGGGGCGCACGGGGCCCTAGCGATCCCCAGCGCGTATCCCGGGAGGTCTCCAGGTCGCAGGAGAGAAAGCTTCCTCCTTGCCCTCCAGCTCGGTCCCGAAGCGGAACCAGGGGGCGGAGCGGACCGGTGACAGGCTGTGACGAGAACCCCGCCCTTTCTTATAGAGGCACCCGGGGGCACTCAGGGACCGTGCTTCGTCGTCGCCGTCGCCTCCGCCGCCACTGCGTCCACCTCCCGCCCCGAACCACAGCTTCCAGCATCAGCGCCACCGTCGCCGCGTCCACCAGCAGCGCCACCGTCATGCGCGAGATCGTGCACCTGCAGGCCGGCCAGTGCGGCAACCAGATTGGGGCCAAGGTGCGCGGGTGTCCGGGCCCCGGGAGGCGGCCGAGAAGAGCGAAGCGGGGTCCATAAACTCCCTGGAGCTCCCCGACCTTGGGCCTTTTGGCAGACGGGGTCTCCAGGAGGCCAGCACCCGGGGGACAGTGGGGGAGGGGCGCGGGGGCAGGGCCAGGATAGGAACAAAGAGGCCGATGAGGGTGGGGCCCAGCCTTCTGTCTGCTGGCCACAGCTGGCTTCACAGCTGGCCCACTGTCCCCTGCACTGGCACAAAGAGTCCCAGCCTCTCCCCCTGGCTGCAGCCAGGGTACACTGACACCAGCAGTCTTGGCTGGACTGGTGACTCTGCTTCACCCTGCCCCCACCTCTCCCTTCTTGCTGTTTCATCCCTGCCTCCCCACCATGCCTCTAGGCCCCCCATTCACCTTGCTGGGGGACAGGTGGCAGCCAGGGAGGTGGTTGAGGGTTCTGAGCCCAGAAGATGGAGGCCAGGGCAGACCTGGATCCCTTCTCCCTCTCTATTGGTTCTTACCACCACCACTACCATCACCCCTCTAGTTCTGGGAGGTGATCAGTGATGAGCATGGCATCGACCCCACGGGCACATATCACGGGGACAGTGACCTGCAGCTGGAAAGAATCAATGTATACTACAATGAGGCCACAGGTAGGGTTCAGGAGCACCTTCGGGAATGGGGGTAGGGAGGGGCTGGGAGGGGACTGCATACTGGTTCCTGGCTTTCACCCCACCTGACTTCCATCTGCTTCCCTGCAGGAGGAAATTACGTACCCAGAGCTGTGCTGGTGGACCTGGAGCCAGGCACCATGGACTCCGTCCGCTCTGGCCCTTTCGGCCAGATCTTTCGGCCTGACAACTTTGTGTTTGGTGAGTCCCAGGCATGGTGCACAGGCAGGGAAGCCCCCTCGTTCCTTTCACTTCTATATGTTTAGTGAAAATTCTCCACCACGGGCCCCACAGCAGCCCAGTGGGGAAGGTGGACTGGGCAGTCAGGGCTGTGTTGGTGACATGACAAGCAGACCACTGTGGAAGCCCATGGGAGGCATCTGATACAGTGGCAGAGGTGGGGGGGAGGGGTAGGGAAGGCTTCCTGTTCACAAATCCTAGCTCTGCCACTTCATGCATTGTACAAATACTTATTGAGCACCTACTGCATGCCAGGTCCTACTGTCCCCTGGAGATACACAGGAGAACAAAACAGACAAAGCTCTCTTCTCCCCTGGAACTGACATCCTGGTAGAAGGAGGCAGCTGGACAATATAAACAAGTAAAGCCACTGATCCAGTCAGCTGGCTGACTTTGGGCAGGCTCCTCAGTCTCTCTATCTATGCCTATCTTCTCATCTGTAAAATAGAGATTATAAAATAAAATCTACTTCGAAGGGTTGTGAGGCTTAAAGCCATTAATATATGTAAAGAATTTAGAACAATGCCTAGCACAGAGAAAAAGATAAATAAGCATTTGTTGTTGTTTTCACTATTATTATTAATGGCTGCAGCCTAAAAGATGATTAGGGCTTTGGAGGCAGGGAAGATGTATAAGACAGATGGGAGCTGAAGGGGGGCAAGGATGAAAGCAGAGAGAACAATTGATAATAATAACAAAATTATAATCATTTATGTTATATATAATAATTATTCAACTACTAGGATGGTTGGGGGTGGGGCTAATGTGGGCTCTTCCCATAACTGCCTGTGTCCTGTTCCCTTCCCTCTTCAGGCCAGTCTGGAGCTGGCAACAACTGGGCCAAAGGCCACTACACAGAGGGTGCAGAGCTGGTCGATGCCGTCCTGGATGTGGTCCGAAAGGAGGCTGAGAGCTGTGACTGCCTGCAGGGCTTCCAGCTGACCCACTCACTGGGCGGGGGCACAGGATCAGGGATGGGCACACTGCTCATCAGCAAGATCCGGGAGGAGTTTCCCGACAGGATTATGAACACCTTCAGTGTGGTGCCCTCGCCCAAGGTGTCAGACACAGTGGTGGAGCCCTACAACGCCACCCTCTCTGTGCACCAGCTAGTGGAGAACACAGATGAGACCTACTGCATTGACAATGAGGCCCTCTACGACATCTGCTTCCGCACCCTCAAGCTGACCACACCTACCTACGGGGACCTCAACCACCTGGTGTCGGCCACCATGAGTGGGGTCACCACCTGCCTGCGCTTCCCGGGCCAGCTCAATGCTGACCTGCGAAAGCTGGCTGTGAACATGGTGCCCTTCCCCCGCCTGCACTTCTTCATGCCTGGCTTCGCCCCGCTGACCAGCCGGGGCAGCCAGCAGTACCGGGCCCTCACGGTGCCCGAGCTCACCCAGCAGATGTTTGACGCCAAGAACATGATGGCGGCCTGCGACCCCCGACACGGCCGCTACCTGACGGTGGCAGCCGTGTTCCGGGGCCGCATGTCCATGAAGGAGGTGGACGAGCAGATGCTGAGCGTGCAGAGCAAGAACAGCAGCTACTTCGTGGAGTGGATCCCCAACAACGTGAAGACAGCGGTGTGCGACATCCCGCCCCGGGGCCTGAAGATGGCCGCCACCTTTATCGGCAACAGCACAGCCATCCAGGAGCTGTTCAAGCGCATCTCGGAGCAGTTCACAGCCATGTTCCGGCGCAAGGCCTTCCTGCACTGGTACACAGGTGAGGGCATGGACGAGATGGAGTTCACTGAGGCCGAGAGCAACATGAACGACCTGGTGTCCGAGTACCAGCAATACCAAGATGCCACAGCTGAGGAAGGCGAGTTCGAGGAAGAGGCCGAGGAGGAGGTGGCCTAAAGCCACCTCATTCACTTTATGTCTGTCCCCACCCTCCACCCCAGGCTGCTTACCTTTGACCCCTGAGAACCCTGCATCACCACTAAGCCTAACTCAATTGTGAGCCTCTAACCCTGCAACATTCGCTTCACCATTGATCTCAGCTGACCTTTGATCCATGAGCCCCACTTTGCCCGTTTTAGCCAACCTCTCCTTCACCTTGACCTTTCCCTCCAACCAATGCACCCCAGACTGATAAGACCCAGGTTACTTTTGACCCTCTCCTCTCTCTGAGCCTCCCTGCACCTCTGACCTTGCCTCACCTTTGACTTCACAAGCCCACCTGCCCTCTGACCCCACCTTCTCTCTGGCATCTGTAAGCCCCTGTTTCATTCCTGAACTCACTCCCCTCAGCTCCAATTGACCTTGGCTTTCCAAGGGTGGTGGAGGGCTGCTGTGGAGGGAAGAAGCCCTGGAGCATGTGGATGAGGGAGGTTGTACCCCCAACCCTCCCTACCTCCTCCCCTCTGCCTCACCCTCAATAAATAAATTGTCTTGCCATGTTTCTGCTGAGTGCATTTCCATCTCCCTGTGGGAAGGCCAACAAGCAAGGGCTCCCCCCTACATGATGAAGGTGGGCGCTGAAGAGACATCTAATCTGGGGAGAGAGGGAGGGGGCAGAAATTCTGGAGTCAAATTCTGAAGTTCCGGGCTAAGCCACTAACTGTATGATGTTGAGTAAGCCACTTGCCCTCTCTGATCCTTTATTTGTTCACCAGTAAAATGGAATTATATATTTTCCCCCATTATCTCCACACACCCACCCCAGGGATGTTTGTGAAAATTCCAGGAGATTTTGTGGACACAGTGCCTGGCACAGGGCATACTTAGCCAGTGGAGCTGCTGCCATTATCTGTGGGGCATCTAGCAAGTATGAAAAGTAGAGGGGTGGTCTCTAGGGAAGGGTGCTGGGGAGATAGCAGCCTGGAGCTAGCATCTGAGAGAGTCCTGTCAAAATAACAGTTCCTAGCCCTGGGCAGTTTGGCTGAGCAGTTGGAGCGTCGGCCTACAGACCAGAAAGTCCTGGGTTCAGTTTCCGCTAGGGGCATGTACCAAAATAAACAAATAACAGTCACTAACACAGAGGAGCACCTCGATGTCCTGAAACCCACTTTATCTCATGTAACCCTCACACCAACCCTGTAAGGTCTGAGCTTTTATCTTCTTTCCAATCCAGGTGTAGAGAGACAAAGTGTATCAGTTAGCTTTTCCTGTGTAACTATCCCCAAAAGTTTAGGGGCTTAAAACAACAACAGTTATTTATTTTGTTCCAAAATCTATAATTTGGGTAGGGCTTGGCAGAGCAACTTGTTTCTGCTCCCCATTGCATCAACTAGAGAATTCCAAGTGAGGGATTTACTTTCAAGGTGGCTCACTCACATGGCTACCAAGTTCATGTCAACTGTCATCTGGGGATGCAGCAGGGGCAAATAGAAGGAGGGCGTCAGTACCTCTCCATAGTCTGCTTGGGCTTCCTCATGGCATGGTGGTCATGGTCCCCAAAAGCAAGCATCCAGGAGAGCAAGCAAAATGCATTGCATTTTTCTGAGCTAGCTTCAGAAGTCACATTATGTCTTATAGACAACCAATCAAGGCCATCACAAAGTCATGTCCAGATTCTAGGAGGTAAGATATAGGCTTCACCTCTGGAAAGTAGAAAGGCAAGATTCCACAAGAGCATGTGGGGTGGGAGACATGGCTGTAACCATCTTTGGAAATAAAAATGTAGTCCCGTGACTATGAAGCAGTGAGCTGGGGTTCAAAGCCTGACAGTTTATAAGTCTAGGGTTCTGAATCCACTTTATCACCTAGAGTTCAGTGGAAGGACCATTCTAGGCATAATAAGCAGAAAGAAATTTACTTTTTTATTTTTTAATTTTTTCTTTATTGATTTTAGAGAGAAAGGAAGGGAGAGAGAGAAACATCAATGGGAGAGAATATCAATCAATTGGCCGCCTCCGGCATACCCCCCACTGGGGATTTGGCCCACAACATGGGCGTGTGCCCTGACTGGGAATTGAACCAAAGACCTCTTGGTGCATGGGTTGATGCTCAACCACTGAATCACACCAGCCAGGCAAGCAGAAAGGGATTTAATACAAGGATCACAACACCACTGGAGGGGCTGAAAGAGTGGGCTATAAGCAAATGCTTCTTAAACTTCAGTGTGCAAAAGAATCACCAGAATACTGCTAGCACACAGCTTCCTAGGCCCCACCCTAGAGTTTCTGATTCAGTAGATCTTCGTGGGGGGGCGGCCAAGACCTTGCATTAACAAGTTTCCAGGTGATACTGTTGATGCTGTCTATTAAACCACATTTTGAGTAGCCCTGAAATAGGCTGAAACAGCACAAAACTGGCAACCAAGGAGCTACTTCCTCTGCTTAGTGAAAAAGGTGAAGAGTCTACCAACTGCCATCAGAGCTATTAAGTTCAAGAACACGTCCCAAGACCCACAGAGCTGAAAATAGGTCCACTGGAGTGCTGAACAAAAATAAGCTAAAATGACCTCGGCCAGTTTTGCTCAGTGGTTAGAGCGTCGGCCTGCAGACTGGAGAGTCCAGGTTCAGTTCCTACTAAGGGCACGTACCTCGGTTGCAGTTTGTCCCCAGCACTGGTTGGGGTCATATGGGTGGCAACCACTCGATGTGTCTCTCTCACATCGATGTTTCTCTCTCTCTCATTCTCCCTCTCTCCCTCCCATGAAGAGACATACAAAAATGTCCTCAGGTAAGGATAAAAAATAAATTAAATTTAAATTTTAAAAAAAAGCTAAAATGAATATAAAGTAAAATTAATTAAAATAAATATTAAGCCCTGGCCGGTTTGGCTCAGCAGTTAGAGCGTCGGCCTGTGGTCCAGAGAGACCCGGGTTCAGTTCCCGCTAAGAGCACATACCTCAGTTGCAGTTTGTCCCCGGCCCTGGTTGGGTCGTGCAGTTGGCAACCACTCAATGTGTCTCTCTCACATCAATATTTCTCTCTCTCTTCCTCCCTTTCTCTCTCCCACTCTATCTGAAGAGAAATGCAAAAATGTTCTCAGGTGAGGATTAAAAAAAGAAACCCAAATTCTCACCTTGGTCTTCACCACCTGTTGACTACATCCCCATCACCCTCCCTCTCTCTCATTAACCTGAAACCACAGTGACCTTCTTCATGTGCTCAATTATATCAAGCTTGATTCAACCTCAGGCCCTTTGCACGTCCTGTTTCTGCTACTTCTTTTTCCCAAATGTGTGAATGACTAGCCCCTTTTCTCCTATAGGTTTCAGCTCAAATGATACCTCCTTTGAGCAGCCACCCTGGCAACTCTAAATTCACACCCAGTAGCTCTCCATAACTTATCTACTTGTTTCTTTTGTCTGTCCCCTTACCTCCCCATTGGAATGTAAGAGTCATGAGGACAGGAATCTCGTCTACCTTGGTCATCACATGCCTAGAACAGCTTAATGCAGCACAGGCCCTCAGTAATTATTTGTTGAATGGACAAGCAAGTGAATGAATAACTTCACGCCACACTGGGAAGTAAGAGTTCTATTTTCCTCATAATAAAGTGAGAAAACAAAGACACAGAGAGTGTGGGGATGGTTTCTAAGATGGCCCCAGTGATCCCCATTTCCCCCATTCATGTCCTTGTATGATCTCCTCCCCTTGAGTGTGGGCTAGACCTGGCAATGGCTTCTAACCAACACGTTATGGCAAAAGTGATGAAATGTCACTTCTGAGATGGGATTACAAAAGGCTATGACTTCTGTCTTGATGAACTCCATTGCCTTCTCAGCTTCCTCCACTTGGTAAAGCAAGCAACATGTTGGGAAGGTTTACATGGCAAGATACTCAGGGCAGCCTCTGGCCAACAGCCAGCAAGGAACTGAGGTCCTCAGTCCAATAATCCACAATGAACTAAATCCTGCCAGCAGTCACATAGTGAATTTTAAAAGAGCTCCTTCTCCAGTCAAGCCTTCAGATGAGGCCACAACCCAACAGACACCCCTTATTATAGCTGAGACACCATGCGGTATAAGATCCAGCTAAGCTGTGCCCAGAGTCCTGGCTCCCACAGAAATTGTCAAATTATAAATGTGTGTTCTGTTAAGCCACTAATTTAGGGACATTTGATACACAGCAATAATAATTAATACAGAGAGATCAAATGACTTGCCTAAGGTCACACAGACACAGTCAGGTCTCTCTGACTCCAAAATCGTTCTCTTAACCACTTACCTGACCTGACTTTCATAATAACAAAACCTATCAAAAGCTTGATTCAGGCTTGCAAGTGTGTCTATGGATCCTTCTGTTTCAACATGACATCTGTATGCCTTTCTGTGTCTCTCTCCATGCATGTGACTGTGTCTGGCTGTGAATCTGACTTGTGGCTGAGCCCTGACTGTATCTGTCCCTTTGTTACTGCTCTAGCTATGTCTGGGCTCTATGCATTTCTGTCTGTTGTCTGAGTCTATTTGTCTGTTATTTTGCTTACACTGACAGCTTGATCTTTGCGTGTGTGTCTGTCTGTCTGTTGTCTCTGTCTGGAACTGTTTATGGCTGCATCTGTGTGTTATCTCTCTGCATCTATCATCTAGCTGGGTGAGGATTGCTCCTTATGTGTGCTGTCCACTGTGCTTGTCAGTTTGTGTCCATGACTGTGGCCTGCCTGTATGACTTGGTATCTCTGTGTCTGTCTACTGTCTATAACTGTTCTGGCCTGTTCGTCTGTGTCAGTCACTTCCTGGCTGCGTGTGTGTTGTCTATCTGTCTGTGCCCGTGTTCTGACTGCTGTTGGTTGTCTGCCTCCAGCCCAGCGTGTCCTGTGTCCACCCTCTAGGCCAGCTCCCTCTGGTGGTCTGACAAGGAATGGCTGGTTCAGAGGGAGCAAGGGAAAGGAGAGTTGAGGGAAGAGGAAGCATTTTAGGCAAACTGTGAATCCTGGGCTGCTAACAGAGAAGCAAAGGCTTGGATGTGATAGCAGAGACCACACCTAGCCTGGCCTGGCCTGGCAGGATGGGACTGAGGGTCTGGCCTCTGAGCTACCCATCGCCCACCCATCCCAGGGACAGGCTAGGAGACAGGATGCCTCGTTTTCTTGAAGTGGGTGGGGGCAGGGGACGGGGACAGGAACGTCACCCATTAAACTTCCTCTCTTAGCCACACAGGAAGCTGAGCCGGCTCAGGGCCCAGCCCTGAGCAAGCACAGGCCCCAGAACCTCTGGGGAAAGGGACCCACCGGGCGGGCGGGCCCTGCAGGTACCATGGAATCCAGAGCTAAGTAAGAGCAACCCCTCCCTTATCCTCTGGACCAAGATTCCCAGACCAGGCCCGGGCTGGAGCTGGGGGGGTGGGGGGGAGGCTGGGGAGGAGCCCAGAACCACAGGGGCAGGTGGCCGGAATCAAGTCAAGGCAGCACTCAGCTGGCTTAGAATACGAACTCCATTTTCAGACACACTCAGGCCACTCTCCCCTCCTTTCTTTCTTCCTTCCTTCCTTCCCTCCTTCCTTCCTTCCTTCCTTCCTTCTTTCCTTTCTTTCTTTCCTTTCTCTCTCTCTCACCCCCCCTCTATGTGACTAAGTGTGTAACTCTGAGTATGCACCTCACCTCTTGGTATATCTGAGTGATGGGATGTATGGTTTCTGAGGGTCAGCAGGGTGAGGGAGGACTGTGTGTATCCCTGGGTGTGAGTGCTTGTGTGGGACGTATCAACATGAGGGCGAAGTGGTGGGGGTCTCCTGGTGAGGGACAGTGAGTCTGCAGTCAGTCCCCACCCTCTGCCTCTATTGCCCTCCAGGTTTTACTACCTCTCTCCCTAAGAGCAAGCCTCTGCACTATGTGTGTAGTGGGTGGGCGGAGGGGATAAGGGAGGATGGCAGAGACTGCAGGGCCCATAGAAGTACTAAGGCATGCTGCCCTCCTTTCTCCGGTGAGACATTTGGGGTCTGCCCCTGGGGCCTTATGAAGTTTTACATACAAAGATGCACAGGCAAGGCCTCTTGCTCTCAAGACCACAGAGATGCTCACACTTCTACCCAGTCACACTCACAGCCACACAAGAAAATATGAACTTATTCACCCTCACACTAGCTTGGCTTGATCACACACTTTCACATTCTACCTGACACATACACTGGACCACCAGGCAGACACCAGATAGAATCACAAATACACATACACCTGCATGCTCACACAAGTCATACACATACACACATAATCACACTCTCTCTGCTTCATACTCCCAGTCACACACACACACAATCAACACCATTGCATGCACAACCTCATACAACCTACATAATCACTGCCATAAACCCTTGGGGGCAATGCACACAGTTGCACAGGTTACACAGACACACACAATCACACACATGCAGACAAAAGCACATACACAGAAGCAAGTCCATGGACTAACTATGCCCTTTCCTGTTCCACAGAGGTGGTCCCCCTGCTGTGTTTGATTGGTTCTTTGAAGCAGCCTGCCCTGCCTCCCTACATGAGGGTGAGTGGGGGAGGGCATGGGAGGGGGACTGGAGATAGAAGATGGGCCTGGGGCCCTGAACTTAGAGGTCTGCTTTCCCTGCAGATCCCCCCATCCTTCAGCAGTTCCCCCCAGACTTCAGGGACCAGGTATGCAGGCTGGTTCCTTGCTCCCTTGGGACCAGGGTCAGTTCCCCTGGGGGAGGTTATGGGTCCCATCATGAGTGGCCAAGCAGTGTGTGCTTTTCTCCACCCCCAGGAAGCTATGCAGATGGTGCCTAAATTCTGCTTCCCTTTTGATGTGGAAAGGTACGAAAGAAAGCAGACTTCCAAAACCTAGGGACCCAAGGACTCAGACAACTGGAAACCCAGGGAATCATGGATCCTAACAACTAGGGACCTATACACCTTGGGCACCAGACTGGTGGACAGTACTAGGAGCATTGTTGGGGGAGGTCAGGGAGCTGGGACCCACCAGGTCTCTGAGAGCATTTTCCACCTCTAGGAAGCTTCCCAGCCCTGCAGTACAGCATTTCACCTTCGCCCTCACCGACCTGACCGGCACTCGTAGATTTGGTTTCTGCCGCCTGAGGGCTGGTGCCCACAGTTGTCTTTGCATCCTCAGGTGTGGAATATGAGACTGGGGAGAGGGGACAGAGGGCCTCAGCCTAGAGGAACTTCATGGAACCCGTGTCCTCTCTCTACAGCCACCTTCCCTGGTTTGAGGTGTTCTACAAGCTGCTGAACACAGTGGGAGACCTCCTGGCCCAGGACCAAGTGAGAGCAGCCCCCTCTCTCATTCGGTGGGAATCTAGCCCCCACCCCACGAAGCCCCCAGCCCTGTTCAGAACTCTCAGGCCAGACCTAAGCCTCTTGGCTCCTCTCAGAACACCCAGCTTGAGCAAAGGCCTTCAAACTCCCCAACACACGTTTTGACTCAGATACCTCACCCTCACCCAGGTCTCGGAGGTCGAGGAACTTCTAAATCTGCTGCAGCAGACCCTGCCAGAGACCCAGGCCTCCGGGGAGCTGGTGAGTAGTCCCTAACCCCCGGGTATGGGACCCCAGGTGGATGGGGAGGCAGCACCACAGCCCTGAGGACCATACAGCTACACCTCTCCCCCAGGGCAGCGGAGTGACGATCTCCAGCGTACTGGACAGCCTGCCCCCAGCCCCAGGGAATATCAGGCCGGTGAGCAGGGCTGGGGACCCTGGAAGGTTGGGCTCCCAGGTGAAGCCGACCCCTAATTGATCGGTCCACGTGCCTATCTCCCCACAGCTTTCCTGTTTCGTGGCCCCTGACTCCGGCCGCCTGCCATCCATTCCTGAGAACGTGAGTGGACTCCTGGCAGGTGGCTCTGGGGGCGGGAACAGGTCCCGAAACCCGTAGGGACTGCCAGATCCTGTCGTCCCTTTCGCCCAGCGCTTCTCTCTGTCCCTCAGAGGAACCTAACAGAACTGGTGGTGGCGGTGACCGACGAGAACATCGTGGGGCTGTTCGCGGCGCTCCTGGCCGAGCGCAGGGTCCTGCTCACCGCCAGCAAGCTGAGCACCGTAAGGCGGGGCCAGCCGGGCCGGGAGGGGCCGAGGCCTGGCTTCGCCCCTGGGGGCGGGACGACGGGGGCAGTTTCCAACTTTAACTTCACCGGGCGACACCCGAGGGCAAGTCCTAGCTCTGCCCCTTTGAAGGTCAGGGTTGAGTTGAACCCTGGCTCCACTTTTGTGGGGGGAGTCAGCGGTGTAGCTAACGTTTGAGAGCTCCTCTTTGGGAATGCTGAATCCAGACTCCACCCACTGTGGGCCAGAACAAGATTGGCTCCGCCCCTCCAGAGGGTGTGATTAGGGAGCAGTAAATTCTAGCTCTGCCCCTACGGGTAAGGAAAAAGAGGGTAGAGGGTGGAGACTGAATGCTGACTCCACCCCTAGGGCTGTACAAAGGAAGATAAATTTTAGCTCCGCCTCTTTAGGAGTAGGGTCAGTGGAGCTGAGCCGTGACTCCAATAGGGGCGGGGCTAGGGCGGGTTCAATACTGGCCCCGCCTTGTTAGGAGTAGAGCTGCGACTCCCCCCACTGGCTCTACCACTAAGAAGAGGAATCCTGGAGGGTTGTATATTAGCTCCGAACCCTAGAGGGAGGGTCTGGTCGTGCTGAGTCCTGGCTCTACCAAGTCCAGGCACTGTAATTTGCCTAATTCTAGGTCTCCACGTGATTCCTAAAGGGGTGTGAATTTTCACCTCTTAGTAGAGTGTGGGTAAGGTGAGATGGGTGGGAAATGGAGATGGGAGAGCCACCATCCCAGAGATGGTTCTAGAAGCTGGAGATCCAGGCCCTGAACCCACGGTATCCACCGTCCCCAGCTAACCTCGTGCGTCCACGCGTCCTGTGCCCTCCTGTACCCCATGCGATGGGAGCACGTGCTGATCCCCACACTGCCGCCGCACCTGCTGGACTACTGCTGGTGAGGGGCCGGGTCTAGGAAGGGGCAGGGCCTGGGGTGCTAGGGACCAGGGACCTGCATGACCCTGCTCCCTCCGTCGTCCGCAGCGCTCCCATGCCCTACTTCATCGGAGTCCACGCGAGTCTCACGGAGGTGAGTGGGAGCGGCCATGGACTGAGGGGGGATAGAGTTCTCCTCCCTTTGCATCCCCAGATACCCTCCCCCGCCAGGGATTCTCAGACTCTGAGCGGCGCTCCTCCACTACCCTCCATCGCAGAGAATGCTGGAGAAAGGCCTGGAGGACGTCGTGATGATGAACGTGGACTCCAATATCTTAGAGACACCCTTCGACGATGTGCAGACGCTGCCTCCAGACGTGGTCAGTGTCACCCCTCCCATCCTCCCGTGAGTCGGAGAGGCAAAGACCCCAAACCCGCCCGCTCAGCGCCGTTCCTTTGTCCTCCAGGTGTCCCTGCTGAGGCTGCGGCTAAGGAAGGTCGCGTTGATCCCCGGAGAAGGGGTATCCCGTCTTTTCCTCAAAGCCCAGGCCCTGCTCTTTGGGGGGTACCGTGATGCGCTGGTCTGCAGCCCGGTGAGTAGCCAGGACTCTGAGAAGGAGGCCTCATGGACCCTGCAGGATAATATCGATGCATATATTTATAGCGTGCTTGCTCTGTGCCTCCATTTGTTCATCTGCTAAATGAGATCCAGATAGCACCCATACAAATGGATGGTGTAGCCTTGGCCGGTTTGGCTTAGCGGTTAAAGCGTCGGCCCGTGGACCTAAGCGTCGCGGGTTCGATTTCTGGTCAAGAGCACATACCTGGGTTGCAGGTTCAATCCCCAATCTCCCTCTTTCTTTCTTTCTTCCTCTCTCTCTCTCTCTCTCTTTCTCTCTCTCTCTCTCTCCCTCCTGCCCTCCCTCCCTTCTACCCTATCTGAAACATAGAAAAATATCCTTGGGTGAGGATTAACAACAACATCAAAAAAGGATGGTGTGAGTCAATAAATGGGAATATGAAAAAGGCTTGGATAGTGCCTGGCACATTGTGAGTATTCAAATTCTAGGTTCTACTATTACTACTATCTCATTAATGTTCATGACAGTATTATGAGAATTATGAGATAGATGTATTATGAGATAGATGCCATTATGGTCCCATTTCACATATGAGAAAACCGAGGCTTGAAGAAGTCCTACAGTGGGTGAGTGTTAAAGCCAAGACTTTGATCTGTTGACTTTCAACCCTCTACATCAGTTTAAGTATCTGTGTTCCTGTTGGCCGTGCCTTTACAACACATCTGGAATCTGCCCATTTCTCCCCCTCCTCTGTCTCCAATCTGGTCTGGTCCCCATTATTGCTCAACTGAATCAGCATGCTCATCTCCCCAATGAGTCCACTCTCCCACCCTCACCTCCCATAGTCTGTCCTCCCTGAAGTGGCCAGAGGTCACCTGTGAACCTGTGAGCACCCAAGTCAGGTCTCCTCCTACCTCTGCCCACAGCCCTCCAGGGCTCCCATCTCCCTCCAGATAAAAACCCAGGTCCTCCCGGTGGCTCACGAGGCCCTGCACAAGATCAGGCATCCAGCAAGCACTCAATCAACATTTGCTACATTAGGTATATGATAAAGTGAGGGAGGCAGCTGGTGTCCAGGAGTGCCTTGGAGAGCTCAAGACAGGAATCCTTCTTCCAGGGCCAGCCTGTGACTTTCAGTGAAGAAGCCTTCTTGGCCCAGAAGCCGGGAGATCCCTTGCAGGCCTTCCACCGGCGTGCTGTGCACCTGCAGCTGTTCAAACAGGTGCGCCCGAGCTCTAAGGGCGGGGTTGGGGCCGGAGGGGCGGGGTTAGGGGGCAGCCACCTGCGTCCTGTGGGCGGGGCTAGAATCTGTCGGACCGGATTTCCCACTCTAGGTTAGATAGGCAGGATTGAACTCGGTTTCTTAAAGATGAGAGCCCCCGTCCTGATTTCCTAAGAGACAAAAATCTACTCCTTGGTCCCTGGGGAGATAAAGATGGGACCAAATTCCTGGCTCCGGGGTGGGAGTCTGTGCAGGCCTTCGGAAGGGGCGTGTCCAGAGTGCACACCTCCTTTCGGGGGAAGGAGGAGGCGGATCGGGTCTCTTGGAAAGGGGGCTGAAGCGGGATCGGACTCTGGGTTCCTGGAAGAAGGTGGGCTGGATTGCAGGGTCCTTTAGCGCGAGCGTGGGTTCTAGGGTCCCTGAAGGTGGGGTCAACCTCTTCCAGGGTCACCGACAGGTGGGTCGGCCTGGAGTGGCCGAATCCGACTTCCGGGTTCCTGTGGGGGGCGGGGTCTGGTCCCTGATGACAGATCCTGACCTGGGGGGCGGGGAGACGGTTGGACCTCTGGCTTCCAGAGGTAGAATCCAGACCTCCTGGGTCCTAGGGGTAGGTCCCTAAAGGGGTCAGGAATGACTTTTACATCTTGAGGGCTAGAGGGCTCCTAGTCCTCGCATTCAGATGTGTTGATAGCAGCCCTGCATCTGACTCTCTGAGCCTTTCCCCACCCCCAGTTCATTGAGGGCCGGCTGGAGAAGCTGAACACAGGAGAGGGCTTCTCAGATGTGTTTGAACAGGAGATTACCTGCAGCGGGGCCTCCTCAGGTGAGCCCTGAACCTAGCCCCAAGTCCCTACCCCACCAGCAGCACCCCAGCCTGAGCCTGCCTGCCATGACCATGCTCTCTCCTCACTCCAGGCGCCCTTCGCTCATACCAGCTCTGGGCAGACAACCTAAAGGTATTAACACTGAACACTTGTTTAGCTTATTATTGGATGAATTTAATTCCACAACAGTCCCCAAGTAGGGTCATCATTTTGCTCGTTTATAGAGGTGAAGAAATTGAGGCTCAGAAAGGGAGAAGAGCTTGCCTGGCACCACACAACCCTGGGATGAGGTGGGGTCTGGGGTAACCCCAGATGCCCAAGCCTTTCTCCCTTGGCATTCTCTCCCCAGAAAGGTGGTGGTGCCCTCCTGCATTCCGTCAAGGCCAAGACACAACCAGCTGTCAGAAACATGTATCGCTCGGTAAGGCTGGGCTACACAGGTCATTTACTGGGGTAACAGAGGACATTTTAACCTCACTTTTTTTTTTTTCAATCCTCACCTGAGGACATTTTTCTATCTTCAGATAGAGTGAAAGGGAGGGAGAGAAACATTGACATGAGAGGGACACATCACCTGGTTGCTTCCTGCATGACCCCGATCAGGGCCAGGGACAAACCGCAACTGAGGTACATGGCCTTGACTGGACTCAAACCCAAGACTCATTGGTCCACGGGCCGACACTCTAACCATTTAGCAAACTGGCCAGGGCTTAACCTCGCATTTAAAGTGCAAACATCTTTATGAACTGAATCAGCAGTTCAACTATTAATAATTTTTCCCACTTTTATTTTCCATTCATCATTCTCATTTTTGTCAAGATAATTTCTTTTCTATTTAAAATTGACAACCAAGACTCATTGGGGTTTTTTGTCCTTCTCAGACACTGCAAACTCCACTTCTACCTTTGTGGGTTTTTTTCCCAAAGCCCATTTCCCAGGGTCAACTTTTGCAGCTCCAAATTGTCCATTCAATTTTATTCTTTTTGCAGGTTATAATTTATTTTTATTTTTAAAATTTTTTAAATAATGTTACAAATGTTTCTCCTTTTCCCACCATTGACACCCTCCTTCTGAGTCCCCCAGCCCCCAGCCCCATCCCCAGCACTGTTGTCTATGTCCATTGGTTACACATACATGCATGTAAGTTCTGTGGTTTATCTCTTCCCTCCCCCCAGACCCCTCTTCTGAGGTTTGTTAGTCTGTACCCTACTTCTATGTCTCTAGGTCTATTTTGTTCATCAGTTTGTTTTGTTCACTATATTCCCCAAATAAGTGAGATCATATGATATTTGTCTTTCTGAGTGGCTCGTTTTGCTTAGGATAATACTCTCCAGGTCCCTCCATGTCATCTCAAAGGATAAGAGATCTTTCTTTCTTACAGCTGCATAGTATTCCATCCATTTTATTCTTCACTTGGCTTTTGAACACAGGCACATTTATACGATGTTCTGTTTTTTGTTACTTCCTGTTTCATTTGGGGTTTACCTCCCCCAGGAATATTTCTTTTGTATTAGTCAAAGGGGTAAGAGCTTGTATTGACTTCTTAGGTAGTGCATGAGGAATTGTGAATATATTTGTGAGACACAAGCATGAATAGATAGATGGCAAGATGCAGCTGTCCTAGGGAACTGAGGGCTGAGTTCTCAAACGTCCAGTGTTAAAGCACCTCTATTCTAATTCTCTTTTGGCTCCTCCATAGGCCAAGAGTGGCTTGAAGGGAGTGCAGAGCCTCCTGATGTACAAGGTAAGGTTAATGGTCAATGGCCAGGGTGAGTGGGAAAACAGGCTCCCAGCTCACCCAACCTCTTCCTAGGATAGGGATTCTGGCCTGCAGAGGGGGGGCTCCCTCAGGGCTTTCTCGCTCACCAGTCGCTCAGATCACCTGCAGCAGCGCCTGCCTATCATCCAACACTTTGGACAGGTAAGATGGCCCGCCTCCACTGGGACACACACACCTGGAATTGTCACCAAGTCTTCCTTCCATCCTCAATCTCCATCTTGACAGCTCACCTCTCTCCTCATGTACCCCAGGATCTGGTGCTTGCTTCACACTAACCCTCCTTCACACAGGCCACCCTGACTCTAGCTCCTGGGCCTCACCCCTCCAACCAAACCTGTTCTTTGCAGAACCGGCCACTTCGCCCCAGCAGGAGGCTCCAGCAGGAAGAGAGACCTTCTGAGCCCCTGGGGGATGGGTAAGGCTCAAAGGCAGGGGAGGGGGCAATGTTGGAACTGGGAGGCCAAGACTAATGGGGAAGATGGTCCCCCAATTTTAAACCTGCCAGAGCCACCAGACTGAAGCTGGGGGTTTTGGGCAGACATCTAATGCTGCCTATCCTTACAAAGGACACCCCCTCTGAGCCCTGAGGATAACCAGGACTCATGGGCAGAGGAAGATCTGGATAGTAGCTTTCTGGGGTCTGGGGAAGAACTGGATTTGCTGAGTGAGATTCTGGACAGTCTGAGCACAGGAGCCACAAGGACAGGCAGCCTACGGCCCAGCCAGAGCTTAGACTGCTGCCACAGAGGGGACTTGGACAGCTGCCTCAGCCTGGTGAGCCCTCCAGCCCTCTCGCACTTGCCCATCCAACTTGCCACCCCTCCCCCTCAAAGTCCAACAACTTGTTTATCTCCCCACCCCGGTCCAGCCCAACTTACCAGGAAGACCAAGATGGCAGCCAGAAGAGGACCCCCCCACAGAGTGCCAGCCCCTGTCCCTGCCTGCCTGCCTGCCATCTCTGCAAAACCCCCAGCCTCTGGATACCACAAGCTCTTCAAGAAACCTCACTCCCCAGACACCCTCAGAAGCCAGCCAAGAAATCTCTTCTTCATCCCAATCTTTGACAGCTTCTGCAGACCCAAGCAGGAGAGGGGATCTCAAATTCTCTCTCACAGAGCCCCATCATCAAACCCAGCATCTCTCCCCTCTCCACGAGGCAGCTGGAGATCCCAGAGCTGAGAAGAGCCCCTGTTCCCAGATCTCAACAGTGCCCACTCAGCCCATCCCTCCAGAAAGCCCCCAATCTCTGGTACCCACAAAGCCCAACTCAGATATCACCTGGACGTCTCAACCTTCTGACTCTTCTTCAAATTCCAGTTCCCCAGAGCACTCTAGAGTCCAGGCTTCTGAGGGCCGTCGAGCAGAGCATGCTCACCTTCAGCCCTCCAAGGGACTGGAAGCCCCCAGATCCCCTGCCACACCCACTAGCAACTGGCAGGAGACCCAGGTTAGGAGCCAGCCCAGAGTTGCTGAGCTTAAAAAGTGTTTTGAAGGTTAAGGATCAGGGATCTGGAGGAGATGCCATTCTCTCAATAAAGTCTCAAGAGCCCAAAGCTGCTTTTTCTCAGTGAATTTACCTGGGAGCCCTCTCTCTGCTCAGAAACCCACCCTATCCACTACATTTCCCACTGGGGCAGCCCCCAACTAGCTCCTAGGGGTAGTGAAAAGCCCTCTCTTCCAGGAAACTCTCCCAGCCCCTAGGATCCTCGAAACCTTACAATTCATCCCTCCACAGCCTATAAGCCCTGCATTTATCTCCTCCATCTAAGCTAATTTCTGCTTCCACCAGCTCACAAAAAGGTTTTATTATATCTCACTATCAATTTTACACATATATATAAAAAGTGAGCAGCCCCACCCTCCCTTGCCCTCAAGATCAAGTCTTTGAAGCACCTTTTCCACTTCTATTCTTAAGCACTGAGCTGGATGGGTTTGAAGGCCCAGAGAGGGATCAGCCTTCTCCCAAGGTCACACAGCAAGGGAGGGAGATGGATAAAGGGGACCTAGATGGGCAGGCAGCCCTGCACAGTCTCCTTGGAGTCCTGGGGAGCCTGGGCCTCGCTTGCGTGGGAGAACTGAAAGGAAAGGAGAGGGGGGTTGTTGGGCCTGTGTGGAGATGGTGCAGCAAGCAGGAAGACTGGTCCCTAGCCCCAGCACCCCCAATTGCAGGCAGAGTCATGCAGAGGCCACATGCTTCGCAGAGCCCACCCAGCAGGTGCCCCATGGCCCCCAAGTCCAACTGAGCCATCAGAGGCTGGTGTCTTGGTGGTGGATGCTGTGTGGGAGCAGGTGCTAGGCAATCCTGGGCAGTGGTGGCAGCTGTGGCAGACCCCAGCGTTCAGATGAGCCTCTCCTCAGGGGGCAGCTTGAGGTTGGGGGGTGGTGGCGCGCGGGCACCCACCTGCTCCTCACTGCTGGGCCGGTAGGTGCCTTCCGTCTGCCGCTTCTCTCGAAGTTTCTGCACCAGCAACACCAGCCCCACAGCCAGAAGCAGGGCGGCCAGGAGGGAGAAGACCACGATGATGGCAGTGGTGGCCTCCTTAGACTGGAAAACAAGGCACAGGTGTGACTTCCCTGAATCTGAGAATCCTGTCCACCCCCACCTTAGAAGCATCCGGGGTTCTTATCCCCCCACCCTCACCTGCCCCTTTTGGTGATCTTATTCCTCCACCCTGATCCCCATCTATCACATTTGGGGCTCCAAGTCCCCCACACCTGCCATGTCTGGAGTCCCCCTCCCAAGCATCTGTCACATCTGGGCTCCTAGCTTTTCCCCTCTCTCCTGGGCCTATGGGTTAGGAGACCCCTTACACTTGCCACCATCTACCCCCTTCCTGAGGTCCTAGGTCTCCCCAGTCTGGGCCCCTGGGTCTCCCCATTTGTCATGTTATTATTCTGGTCCCTATCACCTAGGGTTCAATGCCAACCCCCACCCTGACCTGCCACCTCTGGGGATCTAGGCTCTCCACCTGCTATATGTGGACTACTCAAAAACATCCCTGCTGCCCTCCTGCCATATATACCCCACAACTCACCAGGGCTCCATTGAAGCTGGGGTATGGGGTGGTAGTGGTGCTATTCTCATATGCAGTGGGGTCCAATGCTGTGGGGAGGTGGTAGAGAGGATAAATGAAGCTCCATCTATCCCTCTCATCTTGGCACATCTGCACCTTTCTTAGGGATTCCCCTGCCCCCAGCCTGTTAGAACTCTGCCCTCTGACTGTGGGTACTCTGCACATAGGAACCAGCCCAGCTGTATTGCTCCTCTGGCCACCCCCAGCTCAGTGGAGCCCAGCAGTGAGTAATCAGCCCATAGTAGTTTGCAGTTTGCACTGAGTTAGGGACTATGATAATGGACGGTGTCTGGAAGCCCAACTGTCTCCTCTACTCCCCTCCCCCACCTCTCTGGCCTTCTCTTGGCCCTTAAAGATCTGGACAGATCCTGCTTTTTCCCTGGAGTATCTATTTCATTCCATCCCCCTACTTCCACCCCCACCCCCACCCCAGGCTCTTAAAACTGGAAGAACTGAATGGCTGGGTCCACCCATATGGCCAGCCTGGTAGTCATCCTGAACTCAGAGCCAGCCTCAGGCAGGCCTCGTTCAGGCTCCCAGACAGCCCCAAACACCTCAACCACAGAAACTCAAATACGCAGGCCTTCTCTCCCCTCGGCTCATAATTTCACCCCAATCAGGAACTCAGGAATTCTAGACAAACTCCGACCTTAGGAATTCAAAATTCCCAACCCTGACCCCAAGGCACTCGAAGCCCGCTTCCCTGTTCTTGACTTCTCAGTGTTCCAGGTCCCCAGCGCCCCTGCGGATACCTACTTTGCCCCCAGGCACGACCCCAGCGGGCCGGCAGTAGTGGCAGGCCGAGCGCCAAGAGCAGCCCCAGGCTGGGGCTCGCCATGGGCCGGAGACTGGTGGCACCAGGGACAGGGCTTTCTGCGCGCGCCGCTCCTACTGCATCTCCGGCTAGGGGTACTTGAGACTTGGCACCTGCGGGAGGGAGACGGAGAAAAGCCAGGGCGTGGGGGAGGAGGCTGGACCCGGGAGCAGGCCCAGGGGAGGGGCGACCCGCGCCAGAACACCCCAGAGTCCAGCCCCGCCCCGCCGCCAGAGGTCAGAGATTAAAAATTAACTCGGGGAGGTGCGTTCCTGGGCTCTGGAAAGGAAAGGGATGGGAAGAGAGGGCAGCAAGCCAACCAGCGTGACCTGCCTCCCTACCTGGCCCGGGCGTTTGATCTCGCTCAGGTTCCCGGTCTGGCTCCCTCGCTCGAACCCTCCTTGCGTCCTCCGGTCGCTGGGTCGGAATACTCCAGCTCCTCCCGCTCACGTGACCCGGAAAGTTTAGTCACTCACCTGGGAAGGGAGCGCACTTCCGGCTTGTGCACCTGAACAGAAATGAGAGGGCGGAGCCAGGCAGGAGGCGGGGCTGCGCCTCGGGCGCACCTGTAACGGGAACCCAATCCCCTAAAGGGCAGAAGTGAAACGGAAGCGCACAGGTGCAAGAGGAAGCTCCCACGCGTATTGCGGGCATGTCTGCAGGATCGCACAGGTGTGGAGACACTCGGGGCGTGGAAACACCGAGATTTGAGGCACTCCTGTCTGGGACAGACACAGAGGGGGAGTCCCTAATGCAAAAATACCTGCGTGGCCTTGGCCGGTGTGGCTCAATGGTTAGAGCGTCGGCCTGCGCACCGAAGGGTCACGGGTTCGATTCCCGGTCAGGGACACGTACCTGGGTTCTGGTTCGATCTCAAGCCCTGTTGGGCCGCTTGCAGGTGGCAACCAATGGACGTGTTTCTCTCAAGTCGATGTTTCTCTCTCCCCCTCCCTCCCTTCCACTCTCTAAAAATCAATGGAAAAAAATATCCTCACGCGAGAATTAACAAATAAAACACCTGAGTGGTACACACCTGCATGAGAGCAAACCTGTAGAGAAAACATCTTCAGGGACATGTAAGAAGCACACCTGTCGGAGATATCTGTGTTAAATCACATCTATTTGGAGTACGTATAGCTGAACAGAAGCATACCTGTGTTGGAAAGAGCTGTATAGAACAGATGCATTATAACAAACACCTGACCGAGTGTAAAGTTTTGAAAACGCAGCCGCATAGCTCACCTATGAAACGAACAACACTTGTATAAGAAATTTCTGTGTGGAATGTACTGACAATACCCCTATGAGACATACCTGCGTTTAAGTACACCTGTATGGGATTCAGTTATACAGAAACAGACCTAGATGGGTGTATATTTGACTTGAAAACAGCTGTGGGGGTGGGGGACGCTGTATAACACATTCCTGGGTGGATTTCTGTTGAGAAGCATACTTATGAGGTGAAGGAAATAGTCTTGTATGAGAAGCATCTGCATAGACTTGAGCTCAAATGAAAGACCTGAGTACATCTGTATGAGGCACATTAACATTGAATCACATATGGGTGGGGGCAGCAGGACAGAGGCTCATGTGTATTGAGGTTCACCTGTCAGGGATGTAGCTGAGAAAACACCTGTTTGGGGTATCTCCATGAGAAAACATCTGTAACACCCACAATGAAGGGCACCTGCAAGGACCACCTGTAAATAAAAACATCTATAAGAGGCTTGCTTGTCTGGAACGCACCTGTTTGGGCACACCTGTTTGGGCTGAAGCTGAGTGGGAACCAAGTGTGTCCTTACTGCTATATCTTTGAATAAAGAACGACGTTAATAAGATGATCTCCTCCTGGGGGCTCTAGGGTGAAGAGTAATCGTTAAGGGTAAATTAATCCCTTTTAGGGTTATAGAGTGATGGGTAAGAATCCCAGGTCTGGATAAATTCCTGCTTTGCCCTTACTGGGCACGTGGACTGGGAAGAGCGCCATAACCTTCTGTTTCCTTATCTGGGAAGTGGGAAAGCCAGTCCCACCTACCTTATAGGGCTTAGCGAGGACGACACGAGAGGTGAGTAAAAGTCCTGGCATGTGCAACGCACAGAATCCGTGTTAGATGTTATTATTCGCTGTCTAGTGATCTGGGCGCCCCTCCCCCTAGTGATGAATCGAGAAACTGCGCCCGAAACTAGTAGGAGGGATATTCGGCCGTTGCCGTGAGCACAAGCTGAGGCCCCGCCTCCTGTGCTCGGCTCCCCGGTGCTGGTCCCCAGCCGCGCCTGGGACTCTGAGAGTCCCCACGCCGGTCTGGAGAGAGCAGTAAGCTCGGCGTCTGGAGGGGGCCGCGGCCCCTTTAAGACTGCCGGGCAAGCCCGGGGAGGCGGAGCACGAGACTGTCCGGGGTGGGTGGGCAAGGCGGTCCTGGCAGTTCTGGCCAATAGAAAACAGACTTTGCAGCCGCGCCGCGCGTTGATCTTCCGTTTCCTGGTCTGGATGGGACAGAGAAAGAAGGCGCGCGGCTGAGATGTAGTGCCTGAGGGAGCGCCGCGTCTCGCTCTGGCGTTCCCGCGGCCGAAAGGGGAATGTGACATGAGCGAGGCGGCTGCCCGAGGGCTAGATGGCGTTGGGTTGGTTCTTGAGTATGTCTGGGAAAAACGAGAACTTTAATTTCTGAAGAGGATTAGTGGGGAAGGGAGGTCAGGGGAGATTACGAAACCCAATTGCTGACATCTCCCTACTTTGCCACCCTGGGGAGAGTGTAAGCTAAGGCACGCAGAGTCGGAACACTGAAAACAGAACTGAGACCAGTGATCTATCTAGCTCCTGTTCCCAGAATAAACCCCGATTTTCCCTAGGTTATGCCATACCCAAGCATTCCCACACCCCCAGCTCCGCCCCCAGCCCCCCCTCCCCACTGGGTCGGGGGAGGCGACACAAGGTCTGACGCGTGCGGCGACGGCTAGCAGTCACTGCCTCCAGCAAGTGCCAGAGCCAGGCCAGCAGCGCGGAGGCTGCTGTAGCGGTGGCCACAGAGCTGGCCCTGTGGGGCCCCGGGGGGGGGAGGGGGTGCCGCGAAGCCCCGGCTGAAGCCACCCGCTGCCGGGCCTCCCCCCCCACACACACCGTCCCGAGGGCGCCATGCGGGGGGCTCCGGGCGACGCGGAGCGGCGACAGCGCTGGGGTCGCCTCTTCGAGGAGCTGGACAGAAACAAGGACGGCCGCGTGGACGTGAACGAGTTGCGCCAAGGACTGGCCCGGCTGGGCGGGGGCGACTCAGACCGCGGCGCCCAACAGGTACCCCCACAGGGACCCTCTCCTGTCGAGCTGCGCTCACGCCCTGGGGCACCCGGTAACCCAAGCTCCACCAGGAACTGCCTGTGGCTGGACTTCAGCACCTGTGCCCAGCCTGGGCGTCTGTTCCCTACCCCTTTGCCCACCCATGTCTGGGCCTAACAAGTTCGCTCAAAACGGGGCTACTGAGGCCAGGAGCCTGTGGTTTAGCTGGGGTCCCCACCCTCATCCCCTGGAGGCAGGGGATGTCTGCCTGAGAATAATAGAGTCTGATCCGCATTCCTGTCCTCTGTCCTAAACACACTCTCCTGTGAACTCTGCCCAAGACCTACCCTGCTCCCACTTCCAGGAGACACACTCTCCCCCTCCCCTGGGCAACCACTGCCCTCCCCGCCAGCTGCCCCAGCCTCTTTGTTTACATTCCTGCCCTTTCCCAGACCTGGCTCTGTGCCTCAGGCTGCCCCAGCCAGGGACCCAATCCTGTCTAAAGCCAACCTCATCTGGGGATGCACCTATCAAAGCATGAACTTGCCCCTGGGGTCATGCAAATATCCCCACACCTGTAGCCCCAGATGCCACTGGAGTGGCTCCATAGCATCCTGACACCTCCCGTCCCATTTTCCAGGTGGGAAAACAAAGGCCCTACAGCTGCTGAGCTTGGATCTGTAATTGCCCCACATTGCCAGAGCTGTCTTTAAGGGAAGCTCCTGAAACTGCCATAGGACAGGTTTTTGTAAGAGACAACAGGGAGGACAGGCTTTCAGAGACAAGAGCCTAAGGCTACATCCCACTTCCCAGCTCTGTAACCTTGATAAGTTACTTGACCTTGGAGAGCCTCAGTTTGCTGTCCAGGAAAACTGGACAATTGCTGTCCACCTCACAGTCCTACTGTGTCCTTGGACATCTTGCTGAGAAGCAAGCTGATGGAGGGAGGGGGAGAATTTCCATGTCCCTGTCCTCTACGCACTGGGGGCCCTGGGTTCCTGGGGTATAAGCTTGTTATGCCCCCTTCAAATGGGGAAGCAGCCTCCTGGAGCTCCTTCTGTCCCTTCCCCCTGCCAGGGCCTCTCCCCAGAGGGTGGTGCTGATCCAGGTGGTGGACTGGACCTAGAAGAGTTTACCCAATACCTGCAGGAGCGGGAACAGCGCCTGCTGCTTCTTTTCCACAGTCTGGACCGGAATCAGGATGGTAAGGCCCAGGGATGGGGCTATGGGGGCCCCAGAGACACCAGTGGGGATAGAACTGGTGATGTCAGGAGGAGGGTTGAGGCCTCTTCTCTCTGATGATTCACAGGCTATTTTGGGAACCCTCCTCACCCCCAGCTAGGTGGTTTGGGGCCCAGCCAGCCCATCCCACATCTTTTCCCTACCTTTAGTAAAACCCCTATTATTTACCCTTAGATTTTTCAAAAGGACAAAGATCCCCCCTATGGCTCCTGGATACCCTATAGGACAGAGACCCCCCCCCCAATGGCATCTTCTAGGTCTCCAGTATCACCTCTTGATCCTCTATGGTGTAGGGAGCCCCATAATTACCCTTACATTCACACCTTCATTTAATCATGGAACAGAGGACCACCCAACATTGCCCAGACCCACTTCTCTGATCCCAATGGATCAGGGATTCCTCAACCCTGCCACAAACCTCACCCTGGGTATCTGGATCCCCTGGTCTTGCTAAACCATTCCCATTTCAAGCTGTCTTGCTCCTTGGTTCCAGGGCCCCCACACACATACCCTTCCCCACCTTGGTTCCCAGGTCACATTGATGTCTCTGAGATCCAGCAGAGTTTCCGAGCTCTAGGCATTTCTATCTCTGTGGAGCAGGCAGAGAAAATTCTACATAGGTGAGTAGCTTGGGTCCAGAATCCCAGGTAACTCTGGTCCCTGGGACCCCTTGGCCACCTTGAGCCTCTGGGCCCCATACCAAGTATCAGGGTGGGTGGAGCTGAGAATTTGAGCTTTGGAGTCAAGTCTATCTTGGGCCAGTTGCTTCACCTTGCTGAGCCTCAGTTTCCCCCACTGGAAAATGGCCAGCTCTCAGTGAAGACGAGCTTGGTCTACCCCCAAATCCAACCAGAACCTCACTCCAACCCACTCCCAGCCTCAGGCACTGATACTATCTGCCTATCTCTTACAAAAACCCACCCTTCCAGCATGGATCGTGACGGCACTATGACTATTGACTGGCAAGAATGGCGTGACCACTTCCTATTGCATTCACTGGAGAATATGGAAGATGTGCTCTATTTCTGGAAGCATTCCACGGTGAGATGGAGGTGGCTTTCCCAGCCTATAACTGGGCCCTCTTTCTCCTCCCCTGGGGACCTAGCTCTAGTGTCCCCAGGGCATGGAGGGGCTGGGTCAGGGTGATCTAGAAGGAGGAGGTACTGGGAGCAGCCAAGGAATGAGACTTTGCTCCTCTTTTCCTTCATTCAGAACTCAAGGGACTGAAGACCCATTTGGGGAGGTCTGTGCAATCTGATTGGAGCCCTTAAGACTTTCTGAGGGGCCTCTGGGAGCAGGCTGTGGGAGTTGGGAGAACCGGGGAAGAAAGAACTCACCAGATGGGGTACCTAGCCTCCCACCCTCAACCCACAGAGCTCCCTTTCTGGTTTTTAAATGCTTCACTTAAGGATTCTGCTGCTGAAAAGACAAATTAAGAATCCACTATCTTCAGAGGGTCCAGTGGGATCCACTGGAATTTGGGAGGGGTGCCCTAGATTGCCATTTCTGGGGGCAGGGGGTCCTAAACAATGTTTCTGGTAGGAACGGATGGCATTTGGAGGAGATCTATTCGTGGGATATGGTGAAATCTTGGGAGGTCCAGAGATTCATGGAGGGGCTTGGTTGGGAAGTCTATAGGAGGACTCTAGAGGAGGGATGATCCCTGTAGAGAAAATCCCTGTGGGATTTGGTGAGGCCTTGGGAGGGATCTGCTGGGTACCTTATATGGGAGATCCCCTGTAGGATCTTATATGGCCCTGGAAGGATCTTCTGGAATCCTTATGTGGGAGACCCTTGAGTGGAATTCTTCAGAGGGATCTGATTGGCTCTGGAGGGATCTTTATGTGGTAAATCCTTCAATGGGATTTGGTCAAGGTCCACAAGTAGGAATATTAGGATCTTACATAGGAGATGACTGACTTGGATGTTTTGGTGGGATATGGTAGGGATAACCTAGGCTCTCCAAGCAAGATTCACTGATAGACTATCTGGGTGTCTGGGGATTCTTGGAGACACCCTCTGTCTAGAGCTGCGTTACATCTTTTTACTCCTGCATCCTCAGGTCCTGGACATTGGCGAGTGCCTGACTGTCCCTGATGAGTTTTCAGAGCAGGAGAAGCTGACTGGCATGTGGTGGAAGCAGCTGGTGGCTGGTGCAGTGGCAGGCGCCGTGTCAAGGACAGGCACAGCCCCTCTGGATCGCCTCAAGGTCTTCATGCAGGTGAGGGGCCCTTGAGAGATTCACCCCATGCCCCAGGCCTGGGCCCCTGGAAGGGACTCCAAAGTCACCTTGTCTCCCTGCCCAGGTCCATGCCTCCAAGACCAACCGACTGAACATCCTTGGGGGCCTACGGAACATGATCCAAGAGGGGGGAGTGCGCTCTCTGTGGCGTGGCAATGGGATCAATGTGCTCAAGATTGCACCTGAGTCGGCTATCAAGTTCATGGCCTATGAGCAGGTGGGGGCAGGTGTGGAGAGGCATGAGTTAGGATTAGCAGGATTGGCTTGAAGGTGGGGGACTCTGCAGGTCCCCAGGAGTGGGCATGTATTCCCCTGCATGATGCCCACAGCAGGAGGACAGTAGAGGAGAGATTCAAATTCATGGAAAGGTCCACCCCTGAGGTCCTGCCCACTGCTGTGTCTACCACTCTCAGATCAAGCGGGCTATTCGGGGACAGCAGGAGACACTGCATGTTCAGGAGCGCTTTGTGGCTGGATCCTTGGCTGGTGCCACAGCCCAAACCATCATTTACCCCATGGAGGTAAGAAAAGGGGACCCTGACTGAGACCCCATTGCGGAGTTGGGGGGCTTGCAATAATCATTTCATTTCATGGTGTGATAAACATTGGGATTATAACTTTGCCTCTCCCTGATTCAGACTATAGCTCATTACAGCAGTGCTGTTTCATGTGTACTCTCTGGGTACTACAATTTGAGATGTGACATCTGGGGATGGTGGTGTTGGTTATAACTGTTTACACAGCCATTGTGGGGCATCCATTTATGGATGTTGATTTTCAGGATGCTTGTTCCCAGAGGAACCATTTCTAGGTAAAACTGTTTTCAGAGAAATCATTTTAGGTTTCAGGTTGTGCGTCAGGTAGGATTGAGTGATGGAAAACTCAAATCACATAAGTGAAGTCTAGAGGTAAGCAGTTCAGTGCTGGTATGTGGCTTCAAAGTGTTAGAGGCCAAGGTTCCTTCCCGCTATCTTACTGTTCCACCACCTCAACATGTAGCATCCACCTTGTGGACAAAAACGCCTTCTTGTGCTCTTATCACATCCACATTCCAGCCAGGAAGGAAGAATAGACAAAGAAAAGAACATCTCCCTGCCTTTAAGGATGTTTTTGAAGTCACACATATCTCTTCTCCTTCTGCATCTATTTCATTGGCTAGGACTTAATCACATGGCCCCATGCCTAAGGAAACTGAGAAATGTAGTCTTTGTTTCGAAAGGCTATGGGCCCCAATTTCTGAAAGTCATGGTTTCTGTTATTAAAGTAAAAGGGACCAAGATACTGGAAGACTTAGCAGTGGCTGCCACATGCAACTCCAAGATGTGTAACCATTTTTTAAATATATATATATATATTTTTTTTATCCTCACCCGAGGACATTTTTCCATTTTTGTTCAGATAGAGTGGGAGGGAGAGAGAGAGAGAAACATCGATGTGAAAGGGACACATCGAGTGGTTGCCACCTGCACAACCCAACCAGGGCCAGGGACAAACTACAACCGAGGCACGTGCCCTTAGCGGGAACTGAACCCAGGTCTCTGGACCGCAGGCCTATGCTCTCACCGCTGAGCCAAACCGGCCAAGGCTAAAGAATATTTTTATTGCCTGGCCGGTGTGGCTCAGTGGTTGAGCATCGATCCATGCACCAAGAGGTCACCAGTTCGATTCCCAGTCAGGACACATGCCCAGATTGTGGGCTTAATCCCCAGTGGGGGGCATGCAGGAGGTGCAATTGATGTTCTCTTTCATTGATGTTTCTATCTCTCCCTTTCCCTTCCTCTCTCTCTCTAAAATCAATAAATAAAAATATGTATATTTTTTTATTGATTTTTAGAGAGAGAAGAAGGGAGAGGGAGAGAGAAACATCAATGTGAGAGCATAACACCAATCGGCTGCCTTCTGTATGCCTCCTATCGGGACTCAAGCCTATAATTTGGGCTTGTGCCCTGACTGGGAATCAAACCAGCAACCTTCTGGGGCACAGGAAGACACCCAACCAACTGAGCCACACTGGCCAGGGCAAGGTGTAATCATTTATAAGTATAGAGATTAGACATAGCAGAAGATTCTACAGAAAGCAGTTTTTAAAATTCTCTTATTCTTAGGGTATCTCCTTGTAGAAATAGCTATTTCTAGGTGTCTTCATTCCTAGATGTAGTGATTCCAGGGGCAGCTTTTCAGGGATAACTGAGTTCTCCCCAGGTACTAAAGACACGGCTGACCCTTCGCCGGACGGGCCAGTACAAGGGGCTGTTGGACTGCGCATGGCGAATCATGGAGCGAGAAGGGCCCCGCGCCTTCTACCACGGCTACCTGCCCAACGTGCTAGGCATCATTCCCTATGCGGGCATCGACCTGGCAGTCTACGAGGTCTGTGGGCAGCCCACCCCTCTCTCCTTTCTTCTTCCCTCAGGGATCTGCCCATGGGCCACCCCTTCCTGTGGGGCTGAGTCAGTTGACCTTCAGAGCTAGGGGAGACAATCCTGGGTTAAGAAGTACTATGGATGCTGGGGCCCTGGGAAACCCTTTTAGACGTTAGATATCCTCACTCTTTCACTTACCACTGCAGTTCGTCCTTCCAAGGGTCTCAGGACACATGATAGTCGGGACCTACTCCAGCTCACAGAATCATGAGTGCAGGCAAAGAGGAGCTTCAGAGGTGCCCGTTTTGCCCCAAAGCTTATATTAGACCCGGCCTATATCTCTAGGCCACTGTCTTCTTTAAGGCCTGCCCATTTCAGCATCTGTGTCACCATAAAACCCACAACCCTGTAACCAGCAACTTGGTGCCTATATCAGGAAAGGCAAGAACAGGGAGTTTTGCTGTTTTTCTTCCAAGGGCCTCATCCATTGCTTTACCTTCTTCTGATGGAATCACCAGGTTGTCCCCAGTTAGCACAGCCCCAGATATTCCCAAGTATCCCCCAAAAATCTTTGTATCCAGGGCAGGATCAGCCTCATGGGCAGATAACCATGGGCCCCGACTCAGAAGGGCTCCTTCCTTGGTTCATAGCTCTGCTGTTGCCATCTTGAAATTCATAATAATTATTAAATGAGGAACCTCACATATTTTTATTTTGTACTGGGCCCCACAATTTATGTAGCTGGTCCTGATCTAAGGTCCTCCATATCTGCCATTCATACCTGCTCTCCCAGCACCCAACATCTATGCAGCCAAATAAGACATAATCATTGCTCATTTGTTCATTTATTCGTTCATTCATTCATTAACGTAAGCACCCATATTTTCTGGGCACTGGGCTGGCTGCTGTATCAAATGAGAATAACACAGCCCTTACCCTCATGGACATCACTTCAAACTAGGAAGCCAGTCAACCAGCAAATAAGTACTTTTAGATCCTGATGCACTCTCAGAAGATAATAAAACAGGATATATGAACAAAAGTAACAGTGGATGGGAGGGCAGGTCTGGGAATGTCTCTGAGAAGTTATTTTAGAGAAGCGATGAGTTGAAAATATATTGGGAGGTATATATGTGTGAACAAGGCAGAAGGTACAGTGAATGCCAAGGTCTGAAAACAGGAACGAACTGGGCCTGTTGGCAGAGAGGAAATCTTAAGTGGCTGGAGGGACCTGAAGAATCAACAATAAGAAAAAATTTGGGTTTATCCCTAGTGTAACTAGAAGCCATTGAGATCATGAGCAGAAGTAAGATGCCACCTTGTTTCATGCATTCTTCACCAAAAATGGGACTTTGGCCCGGTCGGTGTGGCTCAGTGGTTGAGCATGCACCAAGAGGTCGCCAGTTTGATTCCTGGTCAGGGCACATGCCCAGATTGTGGGTCAAATCCCCAGTGGGAGGCATGCAGGAGGTGGCCAATTGATGTTCTCTCTCATCGATGTTTCTCTCTCTCTCCCTGTCCCTTCCTCTCTCTCTAAAATCAAATAAATAAATAAATAAATAAATAAATAAATAAATAAATAAATAAATGGGACTTTGGAGATCTAAGTAGTTTGAGAAACCCTGTGTCCTCTTGAAGTTTCAGAATCTGTTAGTCCCTTAAAGGTTCTGAGAAGTCCTGCAGAAAAGTAACAACTTTTTTTTTTAGCCCAGTATTGACCATACTTATCTAGTCATCAGAACCTCTTTTCAACAGAACATCTCTTTAAAACTCATAAACACCTATTTGGCAAATACTGCTCCAGAACCAAGAGAAGGCTATTTATAGTTGTGAAGGCAGTAATGGCAAAACACTTACTTCTCATTTGCCAGTTCCACACCAGGCCAGACATCACTAATCCATTATAGCACCAAAGTTCAAAATGGGTCTTACTGGGCTAAAATCGATGTCGGCAGAGCTATGGTCCTTCTGAAGCCTCCAGGGGAAACTCTGTTTTCTTACCTTATCCAGTTTCTAGTGACCACCTACATCCTTAGCCCATGGGCCCTTCCTCCATCTTCAAAGTCATCAGCATATTATATTCCAACCTCTCTCTCTCTCTCTCTCTCTCTCTCTCTCTGACCTCTACTTCCATCATAACATCTTTTTCTCTGACTCTTTTCTCTTTTCTAAGATTTTTAAATTAATTTTTAAAGAGAGAAGAAGGGAGAGAGAGAAAGAAACATTAATGTGAGAGCGAAACATCAATTGGCTGCCTCCTGCACACCCCCTCCCGGGAATCGAGCCTGCAACCTAGGCATGTGCCCTGGCTGGGAATCAAACCAGCAACCTTTCAGTGCATGGGAAGACACCCAACCAACTGAGCTACACTGGCTAGGGTTTCTCTGACTCTTAAAAGGACCCTTGTGATGACATTGAACCAACCTGGATACTTTAGGATCATCTTCCATTTCAAGGTCCCTAACTTAATCCCATCTGCAAAGTCCCTTTTGCCATGTCAGGTTCCATAGTCACCTGTTCCAGGGACTAGGGTATGGACAATAGGGGGACCATCATTCCATATTCCGTAAAAGGTAGAGGTGGGGACTGAGTGAGAGAGTGCAGGTAAAATGCTTGTGTTGCACCTAAGGGTACAAAGTGCTGAGCCAGTACCAGCTGTCATGGGATACAGAACCTAGCTAGCAAGGTCTCTGAAGCCAGGGTTCTGGTGTCACCAACCTCCAACCCACTCTATTCCCCTCTTCACCCCTGCCAGACCCTGAAGAACCAGTGGCTCCAGCAGTATAGCCATGACTCGGCTGACCCGGGCATCCTCGTGCTCCTGGCCTGTGGCACCATCTCCAGCACCTGTGGCCAGATAGCCAGTTACCCCCTGGCTCTGGTCCGGACCCGTATGCAGGCCCAAGGTGAGGCCTGGGCGGGAGGATGGAGCAGGGAAGGTCTCATAGTTTGGGTCCCACCTCCTCTTCCCCAGCTCCTCCTCCTAGGTACGTAGAATCTCAGGCTGGAATCCTTTTGGATTTAGATGGCCTTGACCAATTCCCAACCCTTCTCTGGGCCTCAGGGTACCCTTTTGTGACACTGGAATGGGAGCCCTTTACCCTAACTAGGAGAACAGATGCAATGAGTACTGGAAGGGCCCTACAATCTTAGCTGGGAGGCCACTTGGTAGACTTCAGCATATTTGGGCTGGTAACTTGAGATCTAATTTGCAAGGGTGGGTTCATGAGGGGAAGGTGAGGAACCAGGTTAAAGAGGGCAGGGCCAGGCTGGATATCGTTTTGTGTTTCTCTCATGGGTTCTTTCCCTGATTCCCTCCTACTATCCTTGCACTATTTTGAGAATTTCCTAGAAAATTTTAGCATTTGTGTTCCATGACTCTCACTGGGGGATTATCAGTTCATAAGACAGATGAGCTTACAGACTGGAGAGGAAGAAAGATGCCGAATAATTCATCCCATAACTGAGGATTGATTTAGGGTAGACTAAAGGGGGAAAGGAGCCTGACTTAGATTGGGGTGCCCGAGAGGGCTTCCCTGAAGAGCTGGCTTTAGAGTTGAGGTTGCAAGGATGAGTAAGAGTTAGCTGTGAGAAGAGGGTGGGGATCAAGTTCCAGGAAGAGGACACTTCTGTGCTCTCTCCCACTACACACACTCATACCTGCTCTGTTTTGAATAGTCCCAAACTTGGGCCCTCCAGATTGAAGTGAAAAAGTGAACAATCCATTCCAAGGCCAGTAGAAGTCCTGACTCTGAGTGGTAGGTCCTGCTGTTAGTCTAACCCTTCTTTCTCCTGCTGCAACTGCCACCTGGCCCAGCCCTGAGGGGTGGAAGGGGGAAGGGAGATGGGGACCTTTGGCCTGACCTGGTTTCCTACCCCTCCCAGCCTCCATCGAGGGCGCCCCCCAGTTCTCCATGCTGGGTCTGCTCCGTCACATCCTGTCCCAGGAGGGCATACCCGGCCTCTACCGGGGCATCGCCCCCAACTTCATGAAGGTTATCCCAGCTGTGAGCATCTCCTATGTGGTCTACGAGAACATGAAGCAGGCCCTGGGGGTCACGTCCAGGTGAGGGACCCAGAGCTGCCCTAACTGAGATCCCTCATCTCAATCATGACGTCCTCTATACCTCAGCCACTGGAGACTGATGGCCCAGCCAATGGATCCCAGGTGCCCCCAATTCAAATCACAGGATCCCCATACTTCATCCCCTGGGTCCTGCATCCCTCATCCCAGCTTCTGGATCCCATGTTCCCCTGTCTCCCCACCACCCCCCGCCACACATGCACACATACACTAAGTCCTAGACCTCCATGTCTTAACCACTGGATTCCCCCACAACTCAGCTAATGAATCCCGAAACCCCAACTACAGGAGCACATATCCCCATATCTAAGCACCCAGACTCCAGATTCACTGTCCTCATACAGCATTAGATCCCAGATCTCCAACCCCACTGGCAGATACCAGACCTCTATGCTTCAAGCCCTGGATTTTCAAGCTTGGCTACTGGTTTCTAGATATCAAGAAACCTTAGCCACTAACTCCTGACAGTACAATGCTCAGATCCTGAGGTCCCCACTACTGGATCCCAGATTGCCCCATCCCAGCTACTGGGTTCCTGAATTCCTTTACCTCAACACTGGGTCCCAGATCCCTCTGCTTTGACTGCCAGATCCCTACATTTCAACCACTACACCCTCAACCACCAACCCACCGGATTCCAGATCTGGTACCCCCACTGGAGTCCTGATCCTGGCTCCTAAAACCACATTCACAAGAGCCCAATGGCAGAGCGATAGGCCCTGGCAACTGCAGCTGTTGGCTCCCCAATCCCTTCACCGCAGGCCCTGAATACTGAGACCTCACCCACAGGAAACAGACCCTGACATTTCCAGGCACTGGATCCTAGATTCTGACCTGAATCCTCCCAGGCTCTAGCTCCCAAATGCTCAGATCCCATGTCTAGATCCCAGTATGCTGATCACAGCAATCTGGACCCTACATGTCCCCTGTCCTAGACACATGAGAGCCCAGAGACCTCCCCAACCACAACACGAACCTGGGAGCCTGTGAGAACCCAACAGCCTGGCCTTCTGGCTCCAGAAAACCTATGAGACTTGCTTGATGCCCCTCTCATTCCTTGCACAGACACTGGATCCCCCCTGCACACACACATACACATTCCCAGTGTGGCCATACTCTGGGCCCTACGGGGACACTGCGCCCTTCAACCCTTCCCCTGACCCTCTACGGTGTCTTCCATTCCCCATCTTATGAGCTGATAACTCCCAGAGCCTGGGTCCTCTGAAGGATCCAGCTGCTCTTTCTAGGGGGTTGGCAGTGAGGCAGTCTGAGGTGGGGGACACACTAAAGGGACCTCCCCCCAGCCTCAGCACTACCAGCCTCTCCTAGTGCTGGTAGGAGGTGGAAGCCAGGAGCAAGTCTACACGGACCATCCTTCCCTAAACCCAAGCATCCAATTATGCAAAATGAACCAAATCCCCAGAACTCACTCCAGGTCTATTTTTCAATGGAGAGGAGCAGACATTCCCTCGTCGCACCCCCATCCTCAAGACTAACCCAAGTCCCAATACCCCCATATACATTCTGCACTTTATAGTTGGATTGTGGACTTAGGATAACTGGGGGACCCCTTCCTTCACTCTTCCCAAGTCCTTGGAGAACCCCATTAAAGGACTACAGAAGAGGAACTGGGATGGTTGTGGAGGGCAGAGGACCTCCCCAAGGCTTCCACCTCTCCCCACCTATACTATACCCCACCTCCCTGCCTGTGTGTGTTATTTCAGAGAAAATGAACAAGAAGAATACATTTTCTAAGCTCTTTTCATTGTGTTTTTTACTGAAGGGGGTGGGTGGATGTGGGACACCCTCAAACTACCCACGGGGAAGGGACATGGACCATCTTCCATCACTCATAGTTGGAGGAGACCAAGAAATGACTACTCTGAGCCTCAGCTTCCACATCTGTAAAGTGGGGCAAGGAGAAGTCCATATGCAGGAGCCCTTCACATTTTTTTGGTATTTGTAATTACACAAGTGTATTTGTTTCCTGGGCTGTCATAACAAGTTACCACAAATGGGGCTTAAAACAACAAATTTTAGATTGATAAATTTTTAGTGTGGTAAAAGACACATAACAAAATTTACCATTTTAATCATTTTAAAAATATATAGAGAACACTTCACGAATTTGTGTGGCATCCTTGTACAGGGGCCACGCTAATGGCTGTATTGTTCCAATTTTAGTATATGTGCTGCCGAAGTGAGCACACCATTGTAATCATTTTTAATGTACAGTTCAGCAGTGTGAAATACATTCACATTGCTGTGCAACCATCCCCTCCATTCATCTCTAGAACTTTCTCATCTTCCCAAACTAAAACTCTGTCTCCATTAAACTCTAATGCTCCCTCCCCAGCCTCTGGCCCCCACCATCTACTTTCTGTCTCTAAATTTGACTCTTCAGGGACCTATGAGTGGAATCACACAGTATTTGTCCTTTTTGTCTGGATTATTTCACTGAGCATAATGTCCTCAGGGTTTATTATCTGTGTTGTAATGTGTGTCAGAATTTACTTCCTTTTGAAAGATGAGTAATATTCCATTGTCTAGAAGGTTCACATTGTGTTTATCCATTCATCCATCAGTGGACACTTGGATTCTTCCCACCTTTTGACTATTGTGAATAAAAACAACAGGCCCTGGCTGGTGTGGCTCAGTGGTTGGAGCGTCGGCCCATGGACCAAAGGGTTGTGGGTTTGATTCCCAGTCAAGGGCATGTACCTGGATTGCAGGTTCAATCCTCAGCCCTGGTTGGGGTGCATAAGAGAAACACTAATTGATGTATCTCTCTCACATCAATGCTTCTCTGTCTCCCTCCCTACCTTCTTTCCACTCTCTCTAAAAATCAATGGAAAAAATATCCTCTGGTGAGGATTAAATAAATAAATAAAATCCAGAAACAAAAAAACAGAAATTTATTCTCTCACAGTTCTAGAGTATAGAAATCCGAAATCAAGGTGTTGGCATGCTCTTGCTCCCTCTGAAGATTCCAGGGGAGGATCTGTCTTTGCCTCTTCTAGCTTCTGGTGGTTGCCAGCAATCCTTGGTGTTCCTTGGCTTGTACCTTCACTCCATTTTCTGCCAGTCTTTACAAGTCCAAACTCTTTCCTGTGTGGACTATGACAGTCACCCTCCAAGATGTCCCCCAATGATCTCTGCCTCTAATATTCACATTCTTGCATAATCCCCTCTCTCATTGTACCAAGGTGAGTTTGTATGGCCCAGAGAATACAGCAGGAGTGATGGTATATCACTTCCAAGATTAGATTATAAGAGACACTGCAGCTACCATCTTGTTTGTATTTTAAGCTGCTGTGTGTGGGGCGATAATTTGTTATGTAGCAGTAGCCCACTGATACATATGCACATCCATAGATACGATTTTGCACACTCTCAAATAAGGGATCAGGCCTTGCTAACTATTTTGTATTTTTAGTTCCTTTGAATTCTGTCCTTAGCATCAGTTTCCAGGAGTGGGTCAAAGGATATTGCTATCTCGGGGTCATGCCACCAGAAAAATTGTTATGAAATATACACGGCTGCCAACAAGGATTTAGCATTACCAATTTTATTACCACAGTGCTTGCATTGAGTGTTAGCATTTTAAGTTTATTTAATTGGACAAGTTAATGTCCATTGTCTTGTCTGTATTTTTATATCCCATGACACTATGACTGGGCTTTAGGAGGCTCTGCAATGGCATGCAGTATGACACCCCATAGTCTCCTTTTCGCTTTCTAAGTCTCAGTTTCCCCACCTGCAAAATAAAGGGTGTTTCCACTGACATCTTTTAAAAGAAAACAACTTACATTTATTGAGCAAGCACCATGTACCCTACCTCTTTGCTAAGCCCTTTAATGTATTACTATCTCAAATTTATTTACTTTGGGCCAGATCAAGTTCTGGACATGGGATACAGAAGTGAATGAAAGAAAAAAATGTTTTTCTCATTGACTCTACATTCCAGTGGGGAGAACAGAACAAAAGAGAGCTTAAGTGAGTGAATGAATAGGTAGCAGTGTGGAAAGCAAGGCTGCTATGGAGAAAAATGAAGGCAGGAAGGAAGATATGAAATACTGCAGGGTAGAGTTTAAATGTTAAATAGGGTGGTCAGAGAAGACCATTTGAATACAGATTTTAGAATGGTTAGGGAGGGTCCTGGCCAGTTTGGCTCAGCAGTTAGAGCATCAGCCCGCAGACCAAAGTTGCGGGTTTGATTCTGATCAAGGGCATGTACCCCAGTTGCAATTCAGTCCCTGGCCCTGGTCGGGGTTGTTCAGGAGGAAACCAATTGATGTGCCTTTCTCACATCAATGTTTCTCTCTCTCTCTCCCTCCCACTCTATCTGCAGATAAAATGCAAAATATCCTCAGGTGAGGATTAAAAAATAAATAAACAAACAAATAAATAAATAAAATAAAATAGTCAGGGAGGGAGCCATGACGATGTATAGGGAAACCACATCCCAGGCAGAAGAAACAGCCAGTGCAAAGGTCCTGGGGCAGGACTGTGCCTGGTGCGTTGGATTGAGTAAGGGGGAGAGAGGAGGAGATGAGGGCACGGAGGGGAGGTAGGTAGGTTGTGCAGGGCTGGGTCCTATGGGCCATGGGGAGGACTTGGCCTTTTACCCCAAGGGAGCTGCAAGCCATGGATGCCTGTGAGGAGAAAGGGGACAGAGCCTGACTCGGATGCTCTGATGGCTGGTGTGGAAGGTCAGATTGTAGGGGCAAGTCTAGGCTGGGTGGGGGGAGGGGTGACTAGGATGGAAGTGACTGCATTGGTCCAGGTGAGCAATGAGGGCTGGACCAGGATAGGGTGGTGGCCCTGAACATGGTAAGAAGCAGCCAGATTCTGGATATATTTTTAAGGTTTAAACCCACAGGATTCGATAACAGAGTGTGAGCATGAAAGGGAGGAATCAAGAATGATATTAAGGTTTTAGACCCAAAGAACATGGAGAATGGAGATGCCCTCAATGAAGACTCTTGTTGGATTCTACTGACAACCCTATCTGGTAGAGTTTATCATTACTTTTAATTCCTAGGTGGAGAAACTGAAGCTCAGAGAAGTAAGGTGGTACTCCAATGTCACACAGCAAGAAGTGTGCATGACGAGATTCAAACGCAGGCCTTTCTGACTCTAGACCTATTCCTGCCTTCTTTGGGGACCAACTGTGTCTCTCTCCCCCAAGCTCCAGAGCTGTCCATTCTCTCTCTCTTTCATCTCCTGTTGCCATGACAATGAAACACAGTGTATTAGTTTCCTATGACTGCTATAACAAATGACACCAAACTTTGTGGCTTAAAACAACACAAATGTACTGTATTGGAGGGCAGAAGCCTGACATGGATCTCTCTGGGCTAAAATCAAGCTGTAAGCAGGGCTGGCTCTTTTTGGAAGAATCTGTTTCCCAGCATTTTTCAGCTTTTAGAGATCGCCCACATTCCTTGGCTGGTGGCCCCTTCCTCCATCCTCAAAATCAGCAATGGCCTTGAAGTCTTTTTCACATTGTATCACTTCAACACCAACTGTTCTGGCTCCCTCTTCCCTATTTAAGTGCCCATGAGAGTACAATGGACCCATTTGGTTGATTCAGAATAATCTATCTCCTCATCAGCTGGTTAGTAACCTAAATTCCATCTGCAAACTTAATCCTCCCTTTCTCATGTAGCATAACAGATTCACAGGTTTAGAGAGATTAGGGTGTGCACCTTTTGGTGGAGAGACCCTCACTCTGCTCACCATAGCCAGCTAGGTCACAAGGGCCTTTGTGATCTCATTATCCCCTGGGACCCAAATTTACAAGGCAAATTCACAACTTCCCACATGGTTGCTGGTAGGCAAACCTCTTGCCAGGCATCTGAACCTCTATGTCCTGACTTTCTAACTGCCATGGGAGCCAAACCTGAGGAAGCCCAGAACCCTTGCTCAAGGATCCAGACTCTGTTTAAGAGAGTTAAGGCCTCATTAACCAAAAGTTCACCCCCACCTCTATCCCCATCCTCACCCCCACCCCCACCCATCTTCTGGAATCCGGGCTGTACACATGTGTATGGGTATGTGTTTGGGCATGTGCGTAAAAATGACCTGGAGCACCTCTCAACACAGCAGGTGAGATACAGATCACCCAGTATCTCCAGCCAGACCTTCATGGGGAGAAAGTCATACTGCTCACCCCTCTACATGGTTCACTTCCCTCCAAGCAGATCTAAAATTTCATCTTGAAGCAGTGAGGACCAGGGTGGGCTTTTCACCAGGATGATGGTTCTGGAGATGTGTCTGAGGGAGCAGTTCAATCTGACTGAGCATGGGTAGAAGCTGGGTCTGCCTTTCAGGTGCTTGACACAGGAGAGCAGCTGATGGTCCCCATGGATGTCCTGGAAGTTGATAATGAGGGAGCCCTGTGGAAGTTTCTGCTCTCAGGAGCCATGGCTGGGGCAGTGTCTCGCACTGGCACAGCCCCTCTGGACCGTGCCAAGGTGCACATGCAGGTATGTGCGGGGTGGGGGTGACATGGTCCTTAAGCTATTGGGGGTAGGGATGAACAAAAGTGGAGCTGATGGCGTTCAGGATGGAGGTGTAGGAGGGTGGGGTTGGGACATGGGCTGGAGTTAGAAAGAGGCTGAATGGAGATGGAGTGGAGGTTTGAATTGGGGATGACGATGGAGCTGATGTGGATGGGGCATCGAGTTGAACTGGGGAAGGAGTTGAGAGAATGGCACCAGGGGCAAGGATCAGATAATTGGGAGTGGGAGTCTTTGGATGGCTTTGAAAACAAACAAAGTAGAACTGGGGAGGAGAGGAAGATGGATGAGATGGAAATGTGGCTCATTGTCAGGATTGGGTCTGTGTTGGGTTTGGGTCTGCACAAGATTTCCAGGACTAGCCACGGAAGAAGTTGGAGAGGGAATGGGGATGGAAGGGGTTATGTGGCTGGGAACAGGATGGGCTTGAGTTCCAAGACAGGATGAAGACAGGGTGGAGGACTTCTCACAGGTCCAGGGGCCTCCCTACCCCTAGGTCTACTCTTCCAAGACGAACTTCATGAATCTGCTGGGGGGGCTACAGAGCATGGTCCAAGAAGGGGGCTTCCGTTCCCTGTGGCGGGGCAATGGTATCAACATACTCAAGATTGCTCCTGAGTATGCCATCAAGTTCTCCGTCTTTGAACAGGTGGGGGATGGTCTGCTTTCCCCAGTCCCACCTCA